GCAGGAAGAATGGCAAATGTGGCAAGTGATCAGCTTGGCTTAGCAGAGAATTCTTCGGTAAGCTTAAACACAAAAAGGAAGCTTACAAGAAATGGAAGCATTGACAAAATGTGGGAGGAGAATAAGAATATTGCTAAAGCATGCAGAGATGAAGTCTGGAAGGCCAAAGCGCAATTGGAGTTGCAGCTAACAAGGGATATAAAGAGTAACAAGAAGGGTTTCTACAAACATGTCAGCAAAGGTCAGGGAAAAAGTGTGGGTCCCTTACTGAATGGGGGCAGCAACCTAGGGACAGATGAGGAAAAGGCTGAAATAATCAGTGCCTTTTTTACTTGGGTCTTCACAGGCAAGCTCAGCTCCTAAACTACTGCATCAGGCAGCAGTTTAGGGAAAAGGTGAGCAGCCAACAGTGGTAAAAACAGATTAGGGACTATTTAGAAAATCTGGACATATACAAGTCCATGGGGCTGGATGCAATGCACCCAAGGGTGCTCAGGGAATTGGCTGATGTGACTGCAGAGCTGCTAGCCATTATCTCTGTGGCAATCGGGGGAGGTCCCGGACAATTGGAAAAGGGCAAATATAGTGCCTATCTTTAAGAAAGGGAAGGAGGAGGACCTGGGGAATTACAGACCAGTCAGCCTCACCTCAGTCCCCAGAAAAGTCATGCAGCAGGTCCTCAAAGAATCCACTTCTAAGCACTCGGAGAAGACGACAGTTAGGAAGTGCAAGCATGGATTCACCAAGGGCACATCATGCCTGACTAACCTGATTGCCTTCTATCATGAGATGACTGGCTATGTGGATGCAGGGAAAGCAGTGGATGTAATATACCTTGACTTTAGCAAAGCTTTTGATACCATATCCCACAGCATTCTTACAAGCAAGCTGAGTTGGGTTGGATGAATGGACTGCAAGGTGGATAAAAAGCTGGCTGGATTGTCGGACTCAATGGATAGTAATCAATGACTCGATGTCTAGTTGGCAGCCCGTGGAGTGCCCCAGAGGTTGGTCCTGGGCCCGTTTTTTCCCCCAGTATCTTTGTTAATGATCTGGAAGATGGGATGGAGCGCATCCTCAGCAAACTTGTGGATGACACCAAGCTATAATAGATACACTGGAGAGTTGGGATAGGATTCAGAGTGACCTAGACAAATTTGAGGATGGGGCCAAAAGAAATCTCATGAGGTTCAACAAGGACAAGTGCAAAGTCCTGCACTTAGGATGGAAGAAACCCATGTACCACAACAGCCTCAGAACTGACTAGCTAAGCAGAAGCTCTGCAGAAAAGTCCCTAGGGGTTACAGTGGACACTACGATGAATATGAGTGAGCAGTGTGTCCTTGTTGCCAAGGCTAATGGCATACTGGGCTGCATTATTAGAAGTATTGCCAGCAGACTGAGGGAAGTAGTTATTCTGCACTGGTGAGGCCACATCTGGAGTACCATGTCCAGTTTTGTGCTCCCACTATAGAAAGGATGTGGACAAGTTGGACAGAGTCCAGTGGAGAGCAACAAAAATGGTTTGGGGGGGCTGGGGCATACGACTTCTGAGAAGAAGCTGAGGGAACTGGGTTTGAATTAGTCTGCAGAAGAGAAGACTGAGAAGGGATTTGGTAGCAGCCTTTAACTACCTGAAGGGTGGTTACAAAGAGGATGGAGCTAGATCAGGGGCACGCAGAATACGGCCCGTGAGCCAGGTCCAGCCCACCAGGCAATTTCACCCGGCCTGTGGGTTCCCACCAATTAACTGTACCCCACCCAGCTCATGCACTTTACTCTCCCCCTCATGCACAGAAGGGCCCTAGCCCAGCCAGCAGGCAGCTTCCAGGTGGGGCTGCCACTGCCACTGCTGCAGCCACCGGGGACCCTGTTTGGCTTCGCTGGCATCCAGCAGCTTCTCCTCACCTCCCTCCTGCGGCAATTGCTCCTGAAAACAGGAAGGGAAGCAGTGGGGCCGGGAGAAGCTGCAGTGGGGGCGGGGAAAAAAGGAGATGCAGCTGAGTGGGGACAGAGCGTGTGAGGCTGGAGCCAGCATAAGGATGGAGACAGTACCCAGGGGGGTGGCAAGAGCATGGAGCTCAGGTGGGCAGGGTGTGGGTGTGGAGACATCCCCACACACTCGCCCCCATGGCACACAGTTCCCACTACTGGCGATAGCAGTGGACAGGGGCTTTCGGGGTGCTTGTGGCTCACACAGGCACCGCTGCCCGGCAGAACGCAGCTCTGGTCAGAGCCGCACATGGTGGCATAGAGTGCAGCCAGGCTGGCTCATCTCTATCACACAGGGCTCCCTGCAGTGCATGTGCAGCTCCCAGCACTTGTGTGCCACCAGGGGAAGCCCCACGCATTGAAGCTGACTGCCTTCCCCGCTCCTTGCCGCCGGAGACCCAGAAGACAGGGCTCCCCAGCATTTCTGGCAGAGTCCCGGCAGCTACACATGACAGCCAGCTCCATCGCACATCGCTGGGAACTGCACACGTGCCATGGGGAGCCTCGCACAATAGAGGCAGACTGGTCTCACTATGCTCCTTGCTACCGTGTGCAACTCTAGCCAGAGCCGTGTGCTGTCAGGTGGCAGTGCCTGCATGGGCCACAAGCACCCAGAGGGCCTGTCGGCAGCAGGGGCTGCGTACCATGGGTGGAGAGAAGTGCGCGTGTGGGGGGAGTGCATGGGGGTTCCCACACCACCCCCACATCCCACAACCCTGCACACCTACACCCTGCAGCCACAACCCCCTACGTACACACACCCCAGCAATATATCCCACACCCTCCCCCACAAACACACACGAAGCCACACGCTCTCAAAACCCCCTCCACACACACCCACCCTATCATGCACACCCCCACCACCACCCCTCCACACATGCCCCCTACACTTCTGCACAGTGTGGAGGCACATGTGGGCCACCCACTGAAAGTCTGGGCCTCCCCATCCTACTGTCATCCCCCCCAAGGGCCCTGCACAACCACGACAATGAGCCCTCTGCCTGCCCAGCAACAGTGGGAGCAGCAGTGGCATGGAGCTGTGCCACCTACTGCTGCCAGGCAGGCAGGGGGCACACAGCCAGTGCAGGGCTCCAGGGGGAAAAGCAGCAGGGTGGGGAGCCCCAAGCCTGCAGCAGGCAACCCACATCCACCCCTGTCACTGCTTGACTCCAGCTGTCCCACTGGCAAGGGGGAGGGGATAAGGTATCCCACATTTTACATTTTAAAACGTGTCCACCCTATTTTATGATTTTGTTTATATTCTGGTTCCAAGATGGACCCCTCTCCCCCACCTCTGAAAAGGAGTATTTCTGGGGGCAAGGGGATGGACTCCCAGGGCAAAGGTCAGGGATTAAGGGGCAGGACTTCTGATCCCAAAATGGTGACCAGGAGGTGGGGCTACTCTTGCAGCCCTCAACAGCTCTCCAAAACTCAGTAAGTGGCTCTACAGCTGAAATAATTGTCCACTCCTGAGCTAGACTGTCCTGTGGTGACAGATGACAGAACAAGGAGCAATGGTCTCACGTTGCAATGAGAGGTTTAAGTTGGATATTAGGGGGGGAAAAAAAAAAAAAACTTACTAGGAAGGTGGTGAAGCACTGGTACAGGTTACCTAGAAAGGTGGTGGAATCTCCATCCCTAATAGTTTTTATGGCCCTAGCTGGGATGCTCTAGTTGCGGATGGTCCTACTTTGAGCAAGGGGTTGGATTAGATGACCTTCTGAGGTCCCTTCCAACCCTAATTTTCCATGATTCTGTGATTCTGCAAACACTTCTCGGGCAAATCACACTCTCTGCTTCAGTTCCCCATCCTAATATGGGTCCATCCCACCCAATATTTATCATATTTACATGTACAGATTACAAGCCCTTTGGGACAGACACCATCTTTCAATACGTATATAAAGAGAGAATATGATTTTAGACCTGCACATGCTCCCATAATGTAAATAACTTGGTGGGATTTAAAAAAAAAAAAATGTATATTTAAAATCAGCAATAAGAAACAGGCAATTACAGCAGTGTACATGATACAAAATACTATTTTATGAGCAGATTTTCTGCCCTTCAATAGGAAGCAGCCAATTCACCTTCAACTTCCTATTTACAGAATGTTTATCCACTTTCCATACTGAAACTGAGGCACTCCAAAACCAGGAAGATTTCTGCTTGGCTACTCAGCAGGGTACAGAAATATAGAAATAATCTCTTTTCCAAGCTGAAGGAGGGATTGCTGCTCTAGACTGAGTGAAGTTTATCACAGCTGAAGGATCCTTAGCAAACTGCCCGTTCCAATGGGATAGAGATTTTTAAACAGCTCCAAAGTGTTTACTTCATGTTTAGATAGAAAGACATAGATAACTAACTAAGAAATTCTTCTGTTTCATCTCTGATATATGTGAATAAACTCTAACTAGTAGAAATCACAGCTCTAAGGGTAGAAAAGGACATCCAATTTTTAAAAATATCAAAAACTGCTGAATGAACCCACAACAGAAAAATCTGGATTTCTGCAGAACACCTTGGTCAAAATACAGCACAGGAGCCCAATATTAAGTTTAGTAGTAAAAATAACAATTGATCCTGAGCCCCTTCCAGTCTATTAGTGAAGAAAGACACAAACCAAGACTAAAAAACAAAAAACAACCCGTGAGCTCTCTTGAGAATGATAAGAAAACTCTTTTCTGAGGAATGTTTTTCTATGTTGAATGGTCTGAAATGTGGAGTCTGGACGCAAGTATTTAAGACAATGTTAGTGTCTGTGTAAGCAACTTGGCAAAGAGAAAATAAATGAAAAGTTGGCATGGAATTTCTATTCCTAAATATACAGTAACTTCTTCTTTAGAAGAGTTATAAACAAACCACCATCATCTGGGACCATGGGCCAACACTTGCCCTGAAAAGGCCCTAAAGAAGGTTAAGTTATAGGTCATCAGGGAAAAACGCTGAGTAACAGACAACCAAAAATTCCCATTAGATACAAAACATCTACCGATATATTTTTGTACCTGCAAAGCGAAGAGGTGCGTCTTTATCCAAGGCTATTAGAGGTGGATCCAGGAGTACCGTGTTGTCATTTTCCGTAACTATACCATGATATGTTGATTCAATCCATGGTTTGTGCTTGTTAACTAAAAAGAAAACAAAAAATGTAAGATTCAGGAACCAGATTTTAAACAACTTGTTAAAATAAACTGTTTTAAAATACTGAAAACCAATTCAATGGCACCATCTTTGAATTTTCCAATTTTGAGCCACTGCTTAAATAGAAAAGATAAATACTTGTTTCTTGATATTCCATGCTTTTTATTTTATTCAAAGTGTAAAAAAAAAAGTTGGCTGGCTATGTTTTCATTTGTATATTCATATGCAAAAGAGAGGTGTATATAACAAAGACCTGTTCCTGGCATAAACAACTCATTAGTTTCTACATACTTAGGAAGACTAGCAAGTATGGTGGAAGACCAGCTTGGTGTAGCAGGGAACTCTTCAGTGAGCTAAAACGCAAAAAAGGAAGCTTACAAGTAGAAACTTGGACAAACAAGTAGGGAGGAGTATAAGAGAATTGCTCAGGCATGCAGGGATGAAGTCAGGAAGGCCAAAGTGCAGTTGGAGTTGTAGCTAGCAAGGGATGTGAAGGGTAATAAGAAGGGTTTCTACAAGCATGTTAGCAACAAGAGGAAGGTCAGGGAAAGTGTGGGTCTCTTACTGAATGGGGGAGGCAACCTAGTGACAGATGATGCAGAAAAGGCTGAAGTACTCAATGCCTTTTTTACCTTAGTCTTCACAGGCAAGGTCAGCTCCCAGACTACTGCACTTGGCACGACAGTTTGGGGAGAAGGTGAGCGGCCAACCGTGGCAAAAGAAAAAGTTAGGGACTATTTAGAAAAGCTAGACAAGCACAAGTCCATAGGGCTGGACATGATGCACCTAAGGGTGCTGAGTAAGTTGGCCAATTCAATTGCAGAGCTGCTGGCCATTATCTTTGAAAACTTGTGGTGAACGGGGGGGGGGGGGGGG